CTATATATGAGAAATCCCACGCATAGATCGTGGAGATCTTATGTGCCATCGGTAAAGTTATTTATCATGACAGGTATTATTGAAATAGAGATTTATGTTCCCTAAACAATTAAGAACATAAGCTATTCCCTACTAAAATATCCTCGTGGCATTAAAAAAAAATCACGTGATTTCATAACCGCAATGTTATGAGAGAGTTACATTATTATTGTATTCGCAATAATACACTTTTTTATGATCTATATTCAATTTGACAAGTACGCATAATTATCATTGAACGCATTTTTTTTTAGATTAGATGTGCACACGCGTCATGTATATCAATTTGACTCACCTTTCCATCTCGGTGACAACATACACGTGCCCCCACATCTTTTAAACTATGTTTTGAACGATGGAAAAGAGAAAGTAAGGAAGTAAGTGGAGGAATTATTAAATGGAACAAGCTATTTAGTAAGAAGGAAGAGAGAATGAAAAGAAAAATAAGGTGGATAAAAATTATAGTAAGAGCCAACCAATTTTTATCACGCGTTTGTTTATTTGTTTAATTACTATTCAAATTTTTGTATTCTAGTGTTTTGTTTTACAAAATTAAGTTATGTTCAAACTTGACCATAGTGTTTGCTTTTCAATGACACATAATTCCTTTTGTGGACTTTTTTTTTTAAGTATTAACCATGCCACTGAATGATCTTTTTTTTTTTTTTTTGCTTTTCGAGGGATTTTTTTTTTTCATGACACTTGTCTGGAAAAAAAATATAAATTTAGTGTCCGTTTAGAAAATGAGTTCAAAACAGTAGTTTGAATCAGAGTTTATATTATATAAGAAAAAACATTGTAATAACACTTTTTAAATTTAAATTTATTGTGAGAAAAAATCCTTGGAAGTATTGCTTCGTGATCACAAATTATTAACAAGTTATAATTAATTCACCCTTTTCTTTTGGAGTGAAAAAACGAAACGAAACGAAGTGCACATGTTAATGCTACCTACTCTTTTCTTACACGCACGTGCAAGGTACGATAAATTGAAAAGATCATATTAAAAAATAAAAATAAAATTAGCTAGTCACAAATCATGTTATGGTTGCCAAAATTAATTTTGAGAAAATATAGAAAAATATACAATCTATATTCAAATATAAATACAAACATAAACATATCGTTGATCTACTTGTGCATGTCGCATTGAAAAACTTTTTTCAAGCATTTCACTTCTTGAGAGAAACGATAAAGTAAAGTCAGTTTGCATTAAAATAATAGTGTTTAACGCCTGAGAAACGTTTTTTTTTTTTTTTTTTTTTTTTTTTTTTTTTTTTTTTGAAACGTGATTTTGTTTATCATTGGCTAATAAAAGCATACAAATTTTGGGACATTACAACTAATCCGCCACACAAAATTGGTCATCTATTTCTGCTTAACTTTTTATCTTTTTTTTCCCCCACTAGTTTTCTACTTCAGAAATTAACCATTCAAGAAGATCAATCATTTGATTAAGAGAAAAAGGGATGTGAATTTGGAGGTCCATATACACCGTTGAAGTAGTCACGACCGATAACCGGCAGAGCTAATTGCTTACTTCATCGAAATCACCAAGAGAGATTTCTGGCCAAGTGTTAGAAGAAATTCCAAAGCGATTTGCCGTCCACAACAACGTGGTTCACAGCGGAAGCTATGAAGATTCCATCGACGAGCTTGGTTACTTGCACCGCAAGCAATAGTTCGGAGATGCCTTGGTAGCTCAAGAAGTTCAATGAAAGATCGAGGAAATGACATCATATGGAAGGATAAAAATGACTAGATCGTGGAGAAATTTATAATTTTATGGACTTTAACTTTAGAAATTGAATTGAACTCAGTTAGAGGCTTAGTTCATTTAGAGAAAGGATGCAAAATAGATTAAAAAAACAAAAGAGAGAGAAACTAAAAATTACATATATATATATATATAAGAATTGTCTCTGGTCAGGCACTTGTATAATCGTGTATAAATTGTGTATATTTATACGTAAATCATGTATATTTACATGTAAAGTCATGTATATTTAACATGAAATATAATAAATCAGTCAATATACATATTTTCATGCTATGTGTTCACTAATTGCTATAAAAAATATGTTTTGAGGATTAATATACATTGTCATTTCTTATAACTTAACATACATGATTCATATGTAAATATACACGATTTACATGTTAATATACACGATTGTACAATTATACAAGTGTCATGTAAATATACATAACTTACGTGTGAATATACACAATTTACTGTAAATATACACACTTTATACAAAAATATACAAGTGCCGTTCTGGTCAGGCATTTTTCAAGTGCCTGACCAGAGACCTTGCCTATATATATATATATATATATATAAGAAAAATTGGTCGCACTGTTATTTCATTTGACATTTTTGATTTAATTCATGTCTCTTAAAAAAAAAAAAAATCTGTGGCTCTCCCACTATTGTTGTCTAAAGTTGGAGTTCATAGAAACCACGGTCTGTATTTTGTAAGAATTCTTAACGTGATAGATTAACCTATTATTTCCATAGAGCTTATTAAGCTGATGAAAATTATAATCACTTGAATTCGGAAGTTGCCGAATCATGGAGTTTAGAGTGATTGTAGTGATTTAATAATTAATATAGTACACATTAGAAAAGAAAATATAATTGTTAATTAAATTTTCATTTGACGCATGTATCACATAATTAAGCAAATAATGTGGTACACATGATAATAATGTAGTACAAGTTGCATTTCATGATCATGTGGAAATAGAAATGTTTCAGTTAAAGTTTGCATGATATGTATAACTCATAAATAATTCATGTACGCAAGCAAAAACATAGTAATAAGAAAAAGGATTTAATTGGAATGTGTTTGATCTTCAAAACTCACAGCACAATGAAAAAAAAATAAACACAGAAACAGAACATAAGAAATATACGAACAAATCAATCATAAGAACACATGGACGCACTAAGAAATAAAAAAAAATCACCCACATCATTGAACAAAGTTTTGCCAACATCTAAAGTACGCATTAGTTATTGGTTCCGGCCGGCCAAAATCTGCGCGAACTCCACATCATTGGCCAGCATTTCTAGCGTTTGAGGCGACAAGCAAGCTTCAAAGTCAATACTTCCTTCTTCGGCCCCGGCAAACACCGTCAGCTTCCCATCGAACTTGTTCCCGGCGCCACTTCACACCGCGATCGGCCTCCCCCAACCGAAGTCATTCCTATAAACATCGAACCTCGGCGAGCTACCCGTGCTCAACATGTTACTAGGAAATTCACCGTGTGGGTCTTGAGCCTAAGGCTTTTGGACCAATCCTCCAAGAAATTCCTTATTCGGCCTTTGTCCGTGACGCTATCATCTTGTTGATCTCCCATGCCGCGCCAAGCCTAATCCTCTGACGAGCAGCTTGCTCGATAAGAACCACATTGCCGAGGTACTCCTTCGGCAATGGTGGCTCCTTCGGCCAAGTTCTCTCAGTTTTCTTTCTTCCCTTTATTAAAATGTGTGTATATGTACATATATATAATATCAGTTGTATATTTATACCAAAATTTAAATTTCACCACATAGCAAAATTTTAAACATTGATTTACAATATAGCAACATTTTCAGAATATTATGAGAATAGCAAAACATTCAAATTTAAAACAAATTAGGTCGTTTTTACCCCTTATAACAGTTCCTTAATTTTCTCCATATTTTGAAAATTCATAGATTTTATTATCCCTTAAAAAATGCACTTCATTTTTTTAGTAACCGTTTATACTCTTTCTTCATATGTAATAGTTACTACATTACCATTAGATAACATTCTTTTGTTGAAAACATTTTAAGAATAATAATAAAAAGAGAACAATATCATATACTTTACCATTATCATTATAGTTATACTGATCGTTATCACCATCATTATCATATATAATTACTGTTTGCGGAAAAAAAAAATGTACATTGGATGATGAATTATAAATGGGCCTTAAAAAGTGAGAGGAGGAAATACAACTTTTGTGCAAACCTAAATTTGGGCTGACCAAAAAAAAAAATAATAATACGAAAAAAAGAAAGGGGATTAAAAATGCACGTTTTAAAACGTGCAATGATGGTAAAAAAGTGCAGAACGTGACAAAAATGGGTGTAGAATGTGTGTACTGAACGTGGAGTGTAAAAAAAAAAGAGAGATGGTGCAGAAATGTAAAACGTGAAATAGTGGCCAAAACTATCCTCCTGAGGAGAAGTTTGGTTTCAAACGAAAGAAGACTTCCATCTCCAAGTTTAACTCAGACGTAGCTCGCTTCTTTTTGGGTGTGAAGCAGTGTCAAACCAAAATACCCAACAAGCATTAGCTCTCCCTGAAAAGGAGGTGATTCAGCCGCCCCTTCCAGTACGGCTACCTTGTTACGACTTCACTCCAGTCACTAGCCCTGCCTTCGGCATCCCCCTCCTTGTGGTGCTATTGCGGCTACACCTCCTGCTTTGTCAGGTATACTACGAAGAATGGCATGGATCGGTAGGAAATACCATTCCGGCACAATATGAGGCGGGGTGGACATCGGATTAGCAGGTATATAATTGTCGGGATGCCCCAAAACATTAGGAGCATAAAAAATCCAAATGGAAGAAAAGATAGCAAAAGCTACCCAACCTACTAGATCCTTTACATAAAAATAAGGGTAAAAAGCTATTTTATCCATCTCTGAATGTACACCCAATGGATTATTTGATCCATATTGATGCAATGCAGCCAGATGAAGAAGACTGGCGCCTACTAAAAGAAAGGGGACTAAATGATGAAGACTAAAAAAACGATTTAAGGTGGCATTGTCCACGGAGAAACCACCCCAAAGCCAAGTCACTATGGTATCTCCTACTACAGGTATGCGAAAAAAGGAGAGTTTTTTTCTGAATACATCAAAAAGCGTGTGTGAAAGTGTGTGCAAAAAAGTGAGAGAAGGCAAAAAAAAAAAAACGTGCATTTTTGCCGCAGGACCAATGGCCAAAACTGTTATACTTATTCTGAAATGAAACTAGTTCATCATCATTTAGCTTACACTCGCCATAAATTCTGCATCACAAGCCAAAGACTCGAGTGTCTCAACCAAAAGGCAAACTTCAAACTCAATACTTCCTTCTTCAGCCCCCGGAAACACTGTCAACTTACCATCAAACTTTGCCGCAGGACCACTCCGCACCGCGATTGGCCTTCCCCAACCAAAATCGTTGCCGTAAACATCGAACCGCGGCGAGCTACCGGTGAGCAGCGTGTTAGCCAGAATCTTCCCTATATACGGCAGCGTGGGCCTCTGGGCCCAATCCTCCAATAACTTTCTCACCTCCGTTGCCGTCTGCGAAGCGATCGCCCTATTGATCTTCCAAGCCGACCAACCCAAACCGTTTTCCAGCAGCTCCCTTGCCGTGCACTTCGGCATCACGACTAGTGCAGCACTACCAAAATACCCCTCCGGTAATGGCGGCTGAATTCTCGTCCTCATGCCTACTGCTACCTTGTAACCAACTTCTTCATCGGGATCTATACGTCGGTTGCGGGTTACGGATATGCAGAGATGAGCAAGTAGTGCTTGAAGAGATGAGATTGCGATCTCGTTGGATTCGGTAATTATTTCCATCTCCGCGCTGGCTTTCGCCTTCAGCTCGGCGATTTTCGCCTTGGAAAAGCGGAACATTCTTTGCTGTAAATTTGGTGGCGAAACCTCTCTTTTGACCTTTGAGATTGAATCGCGAGAGAAAGGAAAGCTAATTGGGAGATTAACAAAGCCGTCAAACCGCTCACGGCCAAAAACGGGTCTGGAACATCGCGAAACCGATCCGTCGAAGCTCTGACGGGAGATTTCCGACCAAACATTGAAGAAATGCCAGAAAGATTTGCCGTCGCCGGCGCAGTGATTCATAGTACAAGCGATGAAAATACCGTCGACGACCTCGGTCACTTGCACAGCTAGCAACGGTAATTTAGAAAAAGCGGCTTCGCCGTTTACTACTCCTTTCATCGGAAAGAAAGAGTAGACGATGTCGTCCGGGACGATAGGTGACTGCAGAATATCAGCCGCCGTGACGCCGTCGATGACTGCGTGGACAAAGTGAGCCCCGGCACCGTTGCAGTCTATAAAAAAGATAGCGGTGCCGTCTTCTTTTTCGATGACGGCGAGGCGGCCGGCGAGAGGGTAGAATATTTCCAGTGCTTGAGAAAGAGTGGCTTTTAAGTGATCTACCAAGGTGGTAGTAATTAGAGAAAAGACATTGGTGGGTTTAAGGAAAAGAATGCCCTTTTGGATGTAGTCGTGCAAGGAGTAACGCAAATCCCATGGAGTCAACTCAATTCTGCGACCAAACTTCTTGTGCTGATCACTTGCCGCCGGTAGAACAGGGCTCTTGGAGATAATTTGGAGTTTGAACTTCGACATAACTGATTTTTCCCTTAGCTCTTTTGGTGCAGCCGCAGCTGTGAGGTTTCTCTGGCTAAACCAGATGGATAAGGTCACTAGAACCAAATCCTAAAACGGGGAATAACGACAAGCAAAGAAAAAATTCAATCTCTGAGAAAAATTCAATAATACTTCATTTAACTCTTAAGGGTCTGACAATAGCTTAAAGATACCACATCAAACGATAAGTCTGTGTTTTAGCTAACAAAGAAACGTCACAAAAGATAGACTCAAACGACAATTAACTCAAAGCCAACAGAAGGAAGCGACAATAAGCAAGCCTTTAACCAAACAGATCAGCGACATTGAGTAAACAGAGTACGCCCTGCGTTATCTTTTCTCAGTACAACAAGGTTTATCGTTAGGTTAGACGGATCTGGTTAGTCAAACAAAGTGAGCAACTATGAGAAATCCCACGCACAGATCGTGGAGAGATATATGCCATCGGTAAAGTTATTTATCATGACAAGTATTATTGAAATAGAGATTTATATTCCCTAAACAATTAAGAACATAAGCTATTTATATGAGACCCTACTAAAATATCCTCGTGGCATTAAAAACAAATCACGTGATTTCATAACCGCAATGTTATGAGAGAGTTACATTATTATTATATTCGCAATAATGCACTTTTTTATGATCTATATTCAATTTGACAAGTAAGCATAATTATCATTGAACACATTTTTTATTAGATTAGATGTGCACACACGTCATATATATCAATTTGATTCACCTTTCCATCTCGGTGACAACATACACGTGCCCCCACATCTTCTAAACTATGTTTAGAATGATGAAAAGAGAAAGGAAATAAGTGGAGGAATTATTAAATGGAACAAGCTATTTAGTAAGAAGGAAGAGAGAATGAAAAGAAAAATAAGGTGGATAAAAATTATAGTAAGAGCCAACCAATTTTTATCATGTCTTTGTTAATTTGTTTAAATTACTAATCAAATTTTTGTATTATAATGTTTTTTTTTTTTTTTTTTTTTTTTTTTTTTTTTTTAAAAATTAATTTTTTTTTAAACTTAAAAACTAAACGAACATAGTGTTTGCTTTTCCATGACACATAATTTCTTTTGTGGGATTTTTATTAAGTATTAACCATGCCTTTGAATGAGAGAATATCTTCCTTTTCTTTTTTTTCTTTTCTTTTAGAATATTCCTTTTTTCATGATACTTGTCTGGAATAAAACAATATAAATTTAGCTCCGGAAGTATATCTCGGATCCATCGCACGTGTTACAGTATGAGCCTATCCAGGTTCACGAAGATTTGTCCTATGAAGAGCAATCAGTTCAGATTCTAACAAGAGAAGCAAGGAAACTCAGAAGTCGTAGTATCCTAATGGTTGGAAAAATCACAATATTGCATAAGCCACTTGTAAAGTAGAAGAAGAAATCAGACAGAAGTACCCCTATTTATTTTGATTTTCGGGACGAAAATTTCTTAAGGAGATGTGAATGTAACGACCAGAAAAATTTTAGGTCTAATCCGGACAGTCCGGCCTTTGACCATAATTCTTTCCGGAATAGAAAGTAGTAGAAATGTTGATGTGATCAAGAAAATGTTACGTAGAAACTTTATGTACGGGATAAAATTTTCTGAAGAGTGTAAAGTTATAATACAAATCTTTTTATAGAGAAAATTCATAAATATCAATTATGAATAGTAAAATATCAGTTAAAAGTTAGAAATTTTAGCGAGTATATTTTAGTTATGAAAAACTGAAATATTTGGTATGTGACCAAATGACCAGTTAGAAAAAGAGTAGAAATATTAGAAGTAAGGAAAATAACAATAGTTCCTGAAATAGGATTTTCCTGAGTCAGTTAAAGCGGAAAACTGCTCAGAAACTAGTACCGTAAAGGTAAGCGTTTTGGGCAATTCTGAATTAATTGAAATGAAAATTTCAGAAAAATAGATTGACTAATGAGATACCCAAGAGAATTGGGTTGAATGTGAAAAGTTTGACCCAGGGTACTCGACAATCCAAAAAAGTAGTACAGGCCCTGTATCGGGTGTGAGATTATCGGTACCAGAAAGAGACTCGTTTTGAAAAATGGAAAGTTGGGTCTCGACAAGAAAAATGTGGGGAACATAGAGGTCCCGTTCACTTCGCTGATTCGAGTTTAAAATTCGAGTTTTTTGTACAGTAAAAAGCTCTCACAAACAATCACATCTAACTTTTTTGCTACAGTAAAAAGCTCTCACAAACAATCACATCTCAACTCAAATTCTAAACTCAAATCAGCGAAGTGAACGAGGCAAGAACCACTCAAATTAAGTGATAAACTTACAAAAATTAGTAAAAGTAAATTAAGGGAATTAAATTAATTTCTTTAATTTAGAAAGTAATAAAAAAAATATTCATTTTGTTCTTAAAATGCCTAAGAAGGAATTAGAAGCCACATTTGTTATATTTTCCTAAGTGTGGCCGACCAAAGAGGGAAAAGAGAGAAAACCAAGGGAAATCAAATGAATCAACCGTTTTCACCGAAATTCCTTCCGTTCAGTCCGGTAGAAACATAACCCGAGGCGTTCTAGCGGAAAATCTCAACTTTTAGAGGTAAGATTTTGGATTTTTCATGAGAAATTTCATGTTTTTCGTTCTTGATGAATAGTAACTTATCTCGAAAAAAATTCGTAAAACTGAAAATTAAAACTGAGGTTTTGTAGGGGACTGTGATAGGAGTCTAACGTGCAAGTATTGAAACGATTGAACAAAATTTTTTGGATTAACACTAAAAATCTGAAAACCCTAGAAAATGAAGAACATGTGTTTTTGTTCAATTTTATGTTGGAATCTGTGTTGAGGAATATGAATCTTAACTCCAGGTACCGAAATCGGAAGTAGAACGAACAATTGAAAGTTCGGGAAACGAGTAAAACAAGGAGAAACTTTGCCGAAATTTCCTAAAACTTAGTTAGTAGGCAATGAGTTAGGAATTCGATTCTTGAGAATGAATCACAGTTTTAAGGCTCGGAAATGAATAGATTGAGGTTTAGAAACTGAGACACACGAATTTATGGGATTTGCCTCTTGAGCTAGAAATTCAGCCTAGAGGGGTCAAATTCAGAAATGAGTTTGAAATTAGAATTAGGAAGCTAAGAATGAGGAATTTTGATTTGGAATAGGAAATTGATACCTATTTCCATGAAGCAGGTTTTGGCACGAGAGCCGAAACAATAAGAAAAAACTTCCAGCAAGCAGGGATATTAGCGGATTATCTGTAAGTATAGACATATATGTTTGTCTGGACTCGAGTAAACCACAGTTAGACTTAGAATTATGAATTTGTTTATATTCCTAAGTCGATGTCATTTTAAGTGTTTGGAGGGCCTAGTGCCCTAGATTGCAGAGGGGTGACCTATGGTTACCCTAATGCTCAGTATAAGGTATGCATGGAGTATTATGTATTTTCAAGTTAGCATGTGCACGTAAAGAAAACGTCGCATATCATTCAGAAAAGTTTTTAACACTTTGAAATGCAAACCCAAAGTTCAGTAAAGTAAGAGACTGACAGTTCGTAGGCCTCCCAAGGGAGGAAATCTCAAAGAGTATGAGATGTCGGCTAGACCAGACAGTAAGCAGGGGCCCAGGCCCACAATAGTAAGAAAAAAAAGGCAGGAAGCAGTTTAAAGCATGTTTCACATAAGCATATTTGCATCATAACTCTTAATGTAATTTTTACTAGTTTATGATGTGTGCATGTTTATACTTGTTGAGCGATCGCTCATCAGTGTTCTCATGTGCATGAAAAAAGGTAAGCAGCCAGCCATATAGTGGTTTTGCTTGATAGACTGGCGGAGGCAAGGTGGCAGAAATGTCATGGGTACACGGGAGTGGTCTCTACTACGCCCGCTTAGGAAAATTCCACTGTAGAGTAATGTAATATAGAACACCAGTATGTTTATTCAGTTTTAAGGAAGAGACTCTACAGTCATTGTCTTACTAAAGAACAATGGACTGTAATAAGTAAGACAAGTTTTCGGTAACATAACATGCTAGAAACATGTTAAGAACCCGAGAGTTAAACTAAAGAAAGAAACAAAAAATTTCACTTGCGTATAGGTGTAAAATAAAGAGACGATAGTCTAGTAATGAGTAATGGATTAGACTATAACTCGGCCTATTAGTAGTAGTGTAAGGTTGGCAACCCGCCGCTAAGGCGGGAGGCGTCACAGTCCTTGGGGTGGGAGGCGTCACAGTCCCGGGGGCGCCCCGGGGGTGTCCCGGGGGGGCCCCAGGGTTGCCCCAGGGGAGCTCCGGGGGTGCCCCGGGGTGTCTCGGGGGAGTCCCGGGGGTGCCCCAGGTGTGCCCCGGGGGTGCCCTGAGGGTTCCCCAGGGGCGCCCTAGGGGTGCCCCAAGGGTGTCCCAGGGGTGCCCCGGGGTGTCCCGGGGGTGCCCCGGGGGTGTCCAGGCGGTGTCTTGGTGGTGCCCCGGGGGTGTCCCAAGGTTGCCCCGGGGGTGCCCCAGGGGTGCCCCGGAGGTGTCCCGGGGGTGCCCAAGGAGTGTCCCGAGGGAGCCCCAGGGGTGACCCGTGGGTGTCCCGGGAGTGTCCCGGCCCCGGGGGTGCCGCAGGTGTTCCCCGGGGGTGTCCCGGGTGTGTCCCGGGGGTGTCATGGGGTTGCCCAGGGGGTGCCCAAGGGGTGTCCCGGGGGAGCCCCAGGGGTGACCCGTGGGTGTCCCGGGAGTGTCCCGGCCCCGGGGGTGCCCCAGGTGTGCCCCGGGGGTGCCCCGGTGGTGTCCCGCGGTTGCCCCGGCGGTGCCCCGGGGGTTCCCCTGGGATGCCCCGGGGGTGTCCCGGGGGTGTCACGGGGGTGCCCCGGGGGTGTCACAGGGGTGACCCGGGGGTGTCCCGGGGGTGCGTCTCCCGGGGTTCTCCCGTGGGTCTCCCGGGGGTCTCCAGTGGGTGTCTCGGGGTGCCCTGGGGGTCGCCGGGGGGTCTCCCGTGGTTCTCCCTGGTGTCTCCGGGGGGTGCCCCGGGGTTCTCCCGGGGCTCTCCCGCGGGTGTCCCGGGGCTCTCCCGGGAGTTCCTCGG